CGTTCGTAACCGACACAACTAGAGATAATCTCCATAGTTGATGTTTGTTGAGACGCATGCAGTTACTAGATTTGTGTCTGTGTGTAAAAAGCCACTATTGATACTCATTTAGGTTTCTTGCGCCATTTTTATTAGCTGACACATACCTGTGTCACTGTCAAGTAAACGGAGAGATATATCACATACATGTATAAAGTCGCAGTCTCACGTACTAAAAACTCAAAATATCTAGGTGTTATCATGGAATCCCAATTTTGAAATTATATAAAAATCGAGCCAAACATTACGGTTTATTAAAAGAAATTTTTACAAATCAAACAGAAACATAAAAATAAAATGCTATTTAACTTAAGTTAGGCCGATATTAAAATATACATCCTCTGTTTGGGATCCCTCAACTCAAGAAAACAAAGAAACTAGAACAAATACAAAATAGAGCAGTGAGATTTATAACAAACGAATCTTCAAATTTGATGAGTGTAACACCATTAGTAAAATCACTTAACTTAGAGACACTTCAGGACAGAAGAATAAAAAGGGAAGAATTAGCCATAATACAATAAAACACTAAACCATAACTTACAAATAGAAAAAAAAACATAATGAAATACTCAGAAAGACTAGATTGACACAAATGCTTAGGGCGTAATTATCTTCTTTTTCAAAGTAACGTCTGTAATGTATAAGATAAAGAAATATTTAGGGTGAAACAGAACTATGAGCCCAATGGAATGTCCTGGTGAACCCATGACCTCGCATAGACTTTGAAATGTTCCGGACAGATGTACTTTATTTGTATACTTACAGTTTGTCATTTAATTTACTGTAGATGTATTCAGCCTTTTCCAAAGGTTGCAGCCTATTTGGACAAGCCAAGCCATTGGACTCGAGACAAAATACACCTTCTCAACACAGTCGTCATCCCAAAAGCAACATATGCATGTGAGACATGGAAGTCATCTGTCAAAATTGAGAAAAGACTAAATGTGGCTCAACAAAAAATGGCTGAAACGGATTTAGGGAGTCAATTATACAGATCGGGTATCAAACAAAGAAATCCTATGCCGAACAGGGAGTCGAACACTCAGTAAGTTATAACAGAGTATCTCATGAGGTTTGCGGGACATGTTCTCCGACAAAATAAGCTACGCATACCAAGAGTTGCGATGTCATGGAGGCCAATACGAGGAAAGCGCAAACAGGGACATCCTCGTATTACTTGGCGCCACACCTTCATGAAGGACCTCAGAATAGACACCAGGTGGGATGAGGCTTCAGACATTGCCAGTGACAGATCTCTATGGAGAAAGCTTGCCGCCCAATGCGCCGAACGGCGCGGGAGGACCTAAGTCTAAGTAAGTAAGATGTATTCAAATTTAGTTCTGATTTTTTAAAACTTTATTTTAGGAGGGAAGGCTTTTACAAGTACAAACACATACGCACACATACCACTCAAACGCACGCACGCACGCACGACACACACACACACACTACTTAGAGGCGAACCTTTCATGATATTACAATGAAATCGAGAGTATTAAAAATGTTTTCTATTGTGTGGCAATGGAACGAGTGTAATTAGAAAGCTAAATCAGTTTTGTTTTTCTTTCATCAATAATGTGCATCTTCCAAGTGAGCTATCTGCGCTCAAAACATCGATATAAAATATAATTAAAGTCATCAGCTAAAGACTAGTAGTTAACTGTTATGCCTAATCATTGCTTCTGTTTTACCTGTTAGAAATTGCATTGGAAAGCTAACTCAGTCACTCTCAGTGAACAACTCAGCTTTTGAAGGCATTTTGTTTGAAACATTAAGCGATTGACGCACAGCTTCTATAGGCCTGCAAGTCGGTGTCTAAATATGAATGAATGTATCAATATCTCTCTGTGGCCTTCTACGTCTCAAGGAATCCTATCCCCCCCCCTCCCCCTGTGTAACATCTTGTGGGACTAAAGAAGCCAATCCTTGATACACAGGTTGGGCCTGTAGTGATCAATGGTCAATGTATGAAAGAACGAATGGATCAATTTGGTATGAATAAATGTATCACTATTATATGAATAAATGTATCACTATTATATGAATAAATGTATCACTATTATATGAATAAATGTATCACTATTATATGAATAAATGTATCACTATTATATGAATAAATGTATCACTATTATATGAATAAATGTATCACTATTATATGAATAAATATGTATGAGGACAGTGGCGAAGCAACCATGATACAAAAGGGGTTCATTGCACCCGGTACCTTGGCTAACAGGGGCCACACAGGGACCTTTGAAAGATAGTGGTTTATTGTTTTCAAGGGTATAGGTTAGTATAGATTATTGTAAAAAGTTGGACCCGAATTAAGTGTCATGACACTTTGTTTAGTTGGAACATGCATACAAATATTTTTATGTAAATGTACTAGCGTATACAGGATGGTTCATTTTATAAAGGGGTGGGGATTTACCTCAATATTGGGTGCCACGGGGAGTTTGCTACGCCCCAGTATGTATAAGAAATAATGTATGTCGGTAAAACTGCGTGGGTGTGTATACAGTCTCTTGAACCAAAAAGGGTGTATTTTTTGTTTATTTACATTTAAAACACACTCAGTTTCTATGTCTTTATATTTCTCGGGCAGGGCCGGCCTAAAGCATAGACAAACTAGACAGCCGCATAGGGCCTCCAATTGGTGGAACCTCGTAGAGGACTCAAAAGAATACTGAGAGAAAAAATTGACAAAAAAATGAGAAAAAAAAAAGAAATTTGAATCAGATATCAAATCTAGTAGAGCGTCATGACTCTATGTTTGCTATTCTAACTCTGACTCTATTACGAAAATTTAGGAAATATGAATTTGAGTTATTTGTTGATTTAGATCTAGACCCAGGCAGGTTTTTATATAAATTGCGTAATTTTATTTTTTGTCGCTGTTTTGTTGGGGTTTTTTTTTGTTTTTTTTTGTTTTAATGTAGACTTTCCTTTGATAATTTATCATTCGATATATAAATATTTATTTATAACATAAACACTGCCTTTATCTTTAACATTATCTCGTTCAATGTCGTGTTTAATTTCCTAGTTAAATAAACACATTTCTTGTATAGCCTCCAATTTATTTCTGTTTAAATCATCGGCCTGTACACCAAGCAAACATCAAGCAATTCTGACTTTTTACCTGTTTTTTAACATACAAATTACTCAAAGCCACATAAGGTGTTTGAACGCAAACAATCTACCGGGCGAACTTTGAGGTCAAACTCCAATAGTTTGTGTGGCCCAAAGTATTGTTTAGATTTCCATTTCCTCATAAAAGAGAATTGCTCATTAGCGTTCAGCACACAAACATTTTCCGTCGACGCCAATCTCCATCCTTCATATTTTTCAAAACCAAAATAAAATTATAATTGTTATCCTAAATATCTACATCTCTGTTTTTATGGCATTATGACTGCTTATGGATAAAACACAGATCTTCTTATACACATGTTTCATACAGTTCTAAATATAGAACGACTCTCGGCTGCAGCAATACTTATGTAATATGTACTACTCTCTGCAGTAATAACAAATAAAAATTTAAAAAAAAAATATGAAGAAAAAGCTAACGTTTGAAATCTGATTGTGTATGTGTTGTAGTAGGGGGAGAATATCCTAAAATATTTTGCATTAAAAAATTGAAATGTAAAATTAATGTATCGGGTGATTACACAGAAATGTAGAACATTTAGGTCGGCATTACTTTTTCAAAGTTTTGTTTGGCAAAGGTGGGGGGGGGGGGGGGGGAGTATTCAAAAGACCCAACGTCAAACAAAAGAACCTGTTATTTAAAATATTCACAAAGTTTGCCTGAACCTAGGTGTAAACAGAGCAGCAAATAGTAATATAGTAACGTAAAATGTAAAAAAAAATGTTAATTCCACATATTTTTTTAATAAAACTCTAATGAAACTACAAATAAATGTGAAAGATAACATAATCATAATAAACATCTTAACAAACTTTAATGAATTATTATAGAAATAAACAAGTATAATTGTGTACAAAGAAGCTGATATTTCTTCCCCACTGAATATCAAAGCAAATCTAGAGGCCTACATGCTACCATTGGAACATGTCTTCAAACTACTGCTTATCTTCTTACTTCGAGTCATCTTGAAATGTTAAATAATAATAAAAAGGTTTATATTTACCTGCAGCAATACAAGAAAAACACTGGAATAAATTATACCACAATAAGTAATAAACATTTAGATCTAGCAACGTCCAGAGAGTATGGATGTCGTGAGGAAACAGTGTGAACACTTGGTCCGCCTTTTTATGTCCGGACACGCGACACGCTACAGTCAGACTGAATAGAGTCCTCGAATAATGTACTTAGCGTCACTATTGTTGAGAAAAGTAAGTCGATCTAAAGTCTATTCAAGTATTAAAACTACATTTGTATATATTACTGGAATTTTTTTTTAAACTTTGGAAATATCTGCAATTCACCTACACCCTAACCTTAACACTAGCCTCCTTGAACTCACCACACACTTGCCCAACTACTTCAATAAACCTTCCATGTCTTTGATCCCGAGAGCCTACCGACAAGTTCAAAAGAGAGAGGACTACCCCGAATAACACAGACACACTCCCGAGCACACACACTCACGCTCAGACATAAATTCACGATTCAAATTAGAATATTTACTAATATACTCGTTGTTTGAACTTTGACACCGCACATTTATCTAAGACACATGCAGACACATCAAATTTATCTAAGACACATGCAGACACATCACAGGCCAATGCAAGACTTTGAGTAACTTATATGGAAGACACTAACAGCTACAAATAAAATAAAGGAATATTGGAAAGCAATATGCATATAAGAGAGAGAGAGAGAGTGAGAATAACGCTACAGTGCCTAAACACTCTAAATGTTATATACAACTATACGCTAAACTTCGTTAAATCTTAACATGGTTACAAAGTACAGTATGTTTGTATTTGTCTCTTAGGCACAATCGGTTAGCACATTCAGCTGTTAACCGAAAGGTCGGTGGTTCAAGTCCACCCATGTACTAAATTTTTCTTCCCATATCATGTTTGAAAGAAACGGTGTTGTAAACGAATATTTCGTTGGATATCTCGCTATAACAAATAAATATATACTATTATTAACTCCATTACACTTGCAGTTCATTCACAATTCCTTCTAAAAGACTCATCTATTTTATAATACAGTCAATACTGTAAGCTCGAAAGCAAAGTGGCAAAGTAACTATTATATTTATATATATTCATAGACACATGATGTATATCCACAAAAACAAAACACTGTATATATTCATAAACATATATATTTAAAGACACTCTCTATATATATATTCAAATACACCATATGAATTCATAGGCACACCATATATTTTTCAAAGTCATTCCTATACATATTGAGACACACCATTAATAGTCACGACATATTATGAACATACATCTACAGACACACTGCATTACTTTTGTGAATGCATTTACGATTGGTTAACGAACTTTCATGTCTCACCAAAGTCTCACCATAACCCGTAGTGATAACACCCACAGACACAGTTATAACTTTCCTGTATTAAATTCATACCATTCGCTCAGCATACCAGCAGAACAAATCTAGCTTGTAGATGGTATCGTAAAACATCTCTATAATGTTTCGGTATCATTTTATTTTCCCTTTCCTTTATATTTTCTCCTAATGCCAACCTTAAATCTCATAAAGCACCCCACCTTTCCTTCTTCCCTTTCCAAATCATCTCTTTCTTCCAGACATCAAAAAAATACGCCTTCTTTCCGTCTTTATCTTATTTCTGCCAATTTTAACTACAGCCCAAGTCCCGGCCGTCATTAAAGCCGTGGTATCGTAATAGGCATAATTTCAAAGGCCTTTGAAGTTCCTACGTCCAATTAATTTACTCCTGCAGCCGTCCCAATGGGGAGACGCTCCTGCTACAGAGATGATAATTTCAACAACAAAAAAAAAGTAAATAAAAAAACTGGATAAGAAAACAAACAACAAAACAAAACAAATCGTTGGCTAAAGTTGTCATAGAAGTAAAGAATGTTTGGCCATGCCTCACAAATACACACCCAGACATACATGCGTAACTTTTACTGAATGTAGATCTCTCAATGTAGAATAGATCCAACTGTCACTGACTTAAGCTACATCCAAAATTCTAACAGCCTAAAAACAGTTTGGGCTTGAAGCTTGGGTGTAATATTCATATCTAGGTCAGTAAAAACATGTTCAGGATAAGCTAAATCTGACAATTTATGCTAAAGGATTTCTACTCAAAGTGGTAATGTTCCGAAAGTGTAGAAGAAGACAGATTTAAAAATGGAAACATGGAGAGCGGATCTTCGCAAGTTTTTTTTTTTTAAATAAATCTTTTCTTTCTTTTTTTTTTACAGTAAGTGCGACGGTGGATGGGGGGGGGGGGGTCTGAAATCTTATTCAATTAGGACTTCAATGTAATAATTAGGGTTAGTCAACAAAAACTCATTTCCCCACACATTGCGGAAAAAAAAACAACACTCTATAAGTATTTGGAGATCTAAACATAAAAGTAAATCTATGGGCATATTTTAAATTTATCTTTGTAATTAACTTCTTTTTTCAACCAGGTGTATATATATATATATATGTAGGGGTGGGGAGGGTGGAGCAATTTAATAAGTCAGGCACGCGCTCTTTTATTCTCCTCCTTTGATTTATAGAAACTTAAATCTTCTGCTAGTGTTGACTTGAAGTGACCCGAGTTAGATCCTACCTTCAAGAACACCCAGGAATGTCCACAGATCAACACAGTGTTAGTGAGGGTCTTAATACATAGCTCTCATAGGTTTCAGCTTATTTTACATAATATACGAATATCTTATATTTATATACTGCTGTTTGGAGTAATAATAATAATAATAATAATAATCTTTATTGTCCATAAGGAAATTAGTCTTACAATTTGTGCATTACACCAAACAAAACATTATAACTATAAAAAAAACAAAATGTACATTCACGCCACCATCACTCTAATTTACATGTGAAAAGTTTATATCAGATTGTTTCTATTTAATGATTTGATTGCCAGAGGAACAACAGAATTTTCTGTCTGTCTTTTCTATCTGTGTCTTGTATCTCCTTTGTCATGGTAAAATCATAAAATCCTGACCTCAAGGGTGTTTAATTACAGATCTCTATTAGTTAAATTCATGTGACAATATAGTTTAATTATTGCTCAGTATCAATATTTAAAAAAATCAAATTTAATCAATAAAAAAAATTAATAGAAAATACAGATGGATCTATATAATTTACTGATTAATGATGTACCTAATGTTGAAGAACGGAAAAAACTTCCTAAACAGAATAGTTTTACTAGGAATCCATATTTAACATTTTTAAAACAAAGTAAACATTAACATTTTTTAATAGCAGTAACTGTCAAATATAAATTGTAGTAGAGTTCTGTTTGAACATAGCAAGAGGCTTGCTTGTTTATCCGAAATACTTTTCTCTTTTTAAAACTCAAATTTTTTTTTCAAATAGTATTTTTTTTATCTGTTCTTGTCATTACTCATTTCTCCTTTAAAAAAATATAGCACCACACACATACGTACAGACTATGTGTGATCTACTGCAATCATCTTCTTTTTTGAAGTAACGTCTGTATTATATAAGATAAGATACTGAATGATAACTCCTAGGTCCAAAGTTAACTCAAAGATCCAGACTAGAAGGTCTCACCAAAAAGTATAAGTCTCAGTAAGGAAAGCGTTAATTAGTGAACAAGTTAATTTTGTATGCATTTAAAAAGTGATAACCGTAACATTCACATTGATATCCCTTTCTTCCGCTTCCCCCTTTTGCTAACTGGTCCAGACAAGTGATAGGATAATAGCGTATTGAGAAAGCTAAATGCATGGAATAGCGCTAAACAAAAACTATTGCTAAAAATATTCCTAACCGCACAGATTTATTCTTGTTAGTCTAGACTCTAGAGCTATAACAAATTTAATCACATGACTGATCCAAACTAATTGATCAATTATACTTTATATTAAGGTTTTTTTGGAAACTTTGGAAAGTATTTTTAATGTTTTTCTTGTTAATTGTATATCCTTTCAATATCTAGCGCCTTGTTTCATATTGACTCATTCTATAGTCTCCTTTACGTCCTGTTAATCACCACTCTATCGTTAGCTGGAAATAATAATTGGGACCTTCAAATTTCAGTGATTATTAATGATGTGAATTGGCTTTTTTTTTTCACCCAGTCAAAAAATACTTTTTTTTTTCATTCATTGAAGAAATATGACATCATCATCATTGCAAGTCCCAAGCCTAAAGATTGCATAAATTGAAAACATAGAAACAGGAGCAGACGAGATAAAAAGTGAAAGCAGTTATCGCCCCGTTTGTGTCCAGAAGCTAAATTGTTTAAAACCAATCAAATTAAGGGCCACCTCGCTCGTTACGTTGACTTGGTCCACGTTTGATGTCTTCCACCGTGTCTGCCTGTCCATCTCGCACGGCCAATTCCCCAGTGTGGACATTTCGTTTCCTGTTTTCTAGAATTAGTGGAGACGTGTTAATTGCGATGTGCAATTCGGAGTTGAACTTTTCCTATCACATCAGCAGATAGTGTGCGAGGGACTGTCTTTAGATTTCATTACACAACACAGTAAACTAATTTTAATTACTATAATTAAACATAGATAAGAGTGGGTTCTTTGTTTCTCTAGAATATTGTTGGTAATAGTAAAGCGGACCCGTCATAACCTTTCATCGCGATCATATTTTACAAAGCTTTTATTAACTTAGTCTGTCTGTCTGTCTGTCTGGTACAAATTTTGTACAATTTTTTTCTCCCACTTCCCATTCTCGGATCAAGTTTAAACTGTACACAATTATTCATAGTCCATGACAATACATTAATCAATTAAAACCTAACCAATTGGCTAATCGTATAGTGGTTATTAATTAATTTTGTTATACTTGGAAAAGGGGAGTTAAACCTTGCAGTATTGGGAGATATGGCAGGGATGGTATGTTTCTTCCCCTTTAGTTCTTTTTTTTAAAAATATTTATTATATTTTGCTTGTTATAATCATTAGAAATATTCTGTTTTAGAGGCATCCGTGGAAATCCTTTTTGTCTAGTGGTAGGAACGTTTTGACCAAGTCCAACATATCCCGATAAGTTGAGCTACCATAGCGAGGACTGGACTCACGAGCAAGAGAAGTATTGGAAATGTTCATCCATGGAGCCAAATCCCTAACTAGCATGCATTTGAGTGTATCCGGTGTACGGGCCACGGATAGAGAGACGAGGTATTGGAATAATTTTCTTGCTTTTTTTTTCAACACTGTAGAATTTCTGTTTTTAGCAGCTTCAATTGAAGCACAAAGTAATTGATATTTTTTAGTTGGCAACTATGAGGAAATAACCTGCCCCTAATATTGTCTTGTTCAGTCTGTTAGTCTGCGTTCACGTTATGTCTAACAACACGTACAACTAACATACAACTTACATACAACTTACATACAACTGGCGCTAAAATGACCAGCTCAAATATTTGTTTGCACCTAAAAACATTATTATTTAAATTTCCAGCCTTACACTTTGTGTGTCAATGTCTTCATTTAGTAAACACTTTCGTCAAAGTTGTTAGTCAAAAACCAAAACTACAACATTGGATTCATCTCTTTTGACAAATTTTATTCTCCTGTCCAGATAAAATGTCACACATACACTCGTACTCCACGACAACATCTTTGATTGAAATTTCATAAAGATCACTTCATTAACGATTGAATTAATTTTATTTTTTTTTAAGCTTAAGTAGATAGCATATAAAAAAAATTGCGACCATTTTATTTTCGACTCATTTAAATGTCAGTTTATATCCCACTATAAGCTTAAACTCAATTCAAGGAAATAGGGGAGATAAGTTAGGACATTACAGAAACTGGCCGCAAAGTTGATAGTGTTGGAATACTAAAGCGAGAGTCTTGGGTTTGATCCACATATTTTAA